GAAGCCGTGGCGAGCGGAGGAAGCGGCAGAACCCAAACCACACACGTCACGTGGCGAGCCTGCCCGGCCCCCCCCACACAGCACAGCAGGAAAGAGGGGGACACACACGGGCTGGACGGGACCCCCCCGGAGCTGTGGGACACCGGGGGACACGGGGGGACACGCCAGGACACGGCGGGACGCGCCGGAGGATGCCGGAGGTGGGAGGATGGAGGAGGCTGTGGTGAAGCAGGGGGGGATCTACCTCCAGCTCCAGCAGACCTTCGGCAAGGTGAGGGGGTGTGGGGGGCACGAGGGGGCTCGGGTGGGTGGGATATGGGGGTGTGGGAGGGGTGGGATCCACAGGGAGGTGACTGATGTGACCCCCCAAGCTGGGGGGGGTGACTGATGTGACCCCAAACCTGTGTTGGGTGATGGGTGTGGCCCCCTTAGACTCATCCAGGGTGACTGATGTGACCCCCTCAAAGGCAGGGGGTGGCGGATGGGACCCCCAGAGCTGCGCTGAGGGACTGATGCAACCCCAAAAGCCTCTCTGCTTCCGTGGCTGATGAACTCGGGCTTTGGCAACCGAAAGGGAAGGAGCTCACGGGGCGTCTCCAGCTCTGTTCCCTGGTCTCACTCCCCGTGGACACCCTCCAGAGGGGACCCAGATGCCATGGGAAGGGCAGGGAAGGCGGGCAGGGTGCAGGCAGGGCGGGCAGGGCATCCCCTCCCCGCGGCAGGGCAGGAGCCCACGGTGCCTGCAGCGCTGAGGATGGAGAGCAGCACAGAGGCCACCCCAGTGTGGATCCCAACACCACATCCCAGGGAAAGAGAGCTGTGTTCTGGCACAGCCTGGGGGCCCAGCAGGCCCCGGAGCTGGAGCTGCCGTGGAGGATGTGCTGGTTTTTGGTGCAGGACTTCCTCTGTCCCCACTTCCCCTCTGACACTGGGGCCTCCCATCCCCCCCGTGAGCCCCAAATTGCTGCTCCCTGGGGGCGAGCTGGGAACTGCTTAAAAGCTGATGTTTCCAGGGAAAATGGAAGCAACAAGGAGCTGGAAGCCCTTCAGCAGCAGGGGAGGGCGTGGGCATGGCTTTTGGGTGTGTAGGGGAGGATCTGGATGCTGGGTGAGGATGAGGATGGGATGCTGCTGGCGCCTTCCCCAGCTGGAAGAAGCCTTGCTATGCATCAGGGATGTTTATCCAGGGATATTTAAACCCCAGTTTAGCTCCCCACCAAGTTCTGGTCAGTCCTGGGCGAGGTGCAGAACCCCTCCCAGACCCCAAGGGGAACAAAAAACTGCCAGGAGGGGGTAAGAAAACCCACCGGGTTCTCCCCGTGGCAGAAGTGGAAGAAGTTCTGGGGCGTCTTGTACCGGGAGAGCTCCTGCTCCACGGCCCGCCTGGAGCTGCTGGAGGGCTCGGGGCCGGCGGAGAAGCCCCGGAAAGCCGAGGGGAGCAAGAGGCTGGTCCGGCTGAGCGACTGCGTGCACGTGGCCGAGGCGGGGGGCGATGCCACCTGCCCCAGGGACACCGTCCCCTTCCTGCTGGAGACCACGGACAGGCGCTTCCTCCTGGCTGCCGACAGCGCCGAGGCGGCCGACTGGATCCAGAGGCTGTGCGAGCTGGCATTCCCGGTAGGATAACTGGGATGGCCGGGGCGGGCTCTCCGGGTGCGGGGTGTTGGAGATAGTTTTGAGTGTAGGAAGGCAGGGAGCAGCTCCTTGTTTGCGGTGCACGAAATCTGTTTACGATGTTTATAGGAACGTTTTATCAGCGCAACATCTGACAGAATATCTAATTGGGATATCTGGGAGTTACCTCACGGGTTACACCCATCCCCAAAACCACCCATCCCCAAAATCATCCATCCTTGTTGTCCCGCCCCACCTCCCGAATTTGAGTCAGTGGTCCCAAAACCACCGCCTTTCCCCCCAGCCCTCATCACCCTCATCATCTCTGCCCCCTCCTTGAATGGCTTCAGGGCTGCTGAGTAGTTCTGGCTTGGCCGTATCCAACAGTGTGCCCCTGTTGCGTCTTATTCCGAGCACGTTTTTCCTGGAAAAGGCGTTTTTTTCACCTTGCTCGAGTCTCTGTCCTGCGGAATTCTTGGCACTTTCAGGCATCTTGTACGAAAGGTGCTTAGCTAAAAAGGGCTGAAAGAGCCACGCTAATACTTTATGGAATGTAGAGTTTGAGGCGTCAGTGCCACGCTCTGCCCTCGCTCACCCGCCGCTCTCTCCCGGACAGAGGAGCAGGGAGGAGCAGGCAGCGGGCAGGGATGGCCCTCAGAGCAAGCTGGGCACCGACGGAGAGTTCTCCATGGAGGAAAACTCCCTGTACAGCTCCCGGGGCAAAGGTAGGCGCCGGGAAGCGGGGATGGAGCGGCAGGCTTGGGTTTGCTGGAGCGGGAGGCAGTTCTTGTCCCGCAGCACCTCAACCCCCACCTCCCCTCCTGCCTGCGCCAGGCAGCTTCCCTGTGCTTCCCTGTGCTTCCTCATGCTTCCTCGTGCCAGGGAGCAGCTCCCAGTGTGGCTGTGTGGTGGGAAGTCTCCTCCCGAAGCAGCCCCTTCCTGCTGCGGTTTGGCTTTGCGGCCGGAGCCCTGCAGCCCTTATCGGCCGGACGCTGCCCCGTGGCCGATCCCACCCTTATCCCACCCTTTTCCCACCCGCAGCGGGCGCGGAGCAGGACTTCGAGGTGACGGTGAGGGCCACCCAGTCGTCGCAGCGCTGCAGGCTCTGGGGCCGCTGCGTCCTGCGGGCCGGGGAGGAGGCGCTGGAGCTGCGGCACCCGCAGAGCTCGGAGCTGCTCTACAGCTGGCCCTACCGCTTCCTCCGGCGCTTCGGCAGGGACAAGGTGGGCAGGCAGGGGGGCTGGGGAAGGGTCTGTGCCACGAGTGCTGTGAGGAGAGGCTGGGGTTGTTGAGCCCGCAGAGGAGGAGGCTCAGGGGAGAGCTTATCCCTCTCTACGGCTCCCTGGCAGGAGGGGAGAGCCGGGGCAGGGGGAAACGGGCTCTGCTCCCAGGACAAGAGGGCACAGCCTTGAGCTGCCCCAGGGGAGGTTTAGGTTGGACACCAGGAAGTTCTTCACAGAGAGAGGGATCAGACCTTGGAAGGGGCTGCCCAGGGAGGGAGTGGAATCACCATCCCTGGAGGTGTTTAAGCAGGGCCTGGATGTGGCATCAGTGCCATGGCCTGGGCGACAAGGCCAGGGTCAGGTCACAGGTTGGACTTGAGGATCTCAGAGCTCTTTTCCAAGCTCGGTGGCTCTGTGTGGATGTGGGAAGAGCGATGCAGGGATTGATGCTGCGTGTCCCTCCCCTCAGGCGACGTTCTCCTTCGAGGCCGGCCGGCGCTGCGCCTCCGGGGAGGGCAACTTCGAGTTCGACACCCGGCAAGGCAACGAGATCTTCCAGGCCATCGAGGCGGCCATCGCCCTGCACCGGGGCCGGGGGGGCCCAGGGGATGAAGCCCCCCGGCCCCCCGGCCACTCCCGGACGCCCAGCTGGGTGCAGGGGCACGAGGAGCCCGGCGGCACCAAGGAGCCCACCCGCGAGGGGAAGGTGCCCAAAACCAAGCCCCCCGTGGTGGTGCCCCCCGCCAGCGGCTGCTCCGGGGCCGGGGAGCTCTCCCGAGGGGCTGATCATCCCTACGCCGAGCCCTGCGATTCCCTCCTGCGGGGGAAGCCCGCGGTGCCGGGGAAGAGCTGGAAGCAGGATGCTCCGGCCAGGGTGGAGTCCGAGTACGCCGTGCCCTTCGACACCATCGCCAAAGCCCTCCTGTCCCACCCGTTCGGCAGCCTGGGGGTCCCCGAGGGGGGTCCTGACCCCCCCTACAACCCCAGGGAGCCGGCGGGGGGTCCCCAGCAGCCCCCCCCGCGCCCCACGGCCGCCAAGCCCGAGCACATCTACGACGAGCCCGAGGGTCTCTCCGCCCTGTCCGTGTACGACGAGCCCGAGGAGGTGAAGGGGGAGGCGTGGAGGCTGCAGGCGGCCCCCGAGGAGCCCCCCGGGCACGACCAGCCCTACAACCCGCAGCGGGACGACTACGCCGTGCCCAAGAGACCCGTCCCGCTGCGCCAGCCCTTCCTGCTGCAGGGCAAGGAGTGGCTCGGCGACACCGACTACGACAACGTGGCCCTCAGGGTGGCCAAGAGGAATCTGCAGTGAGCGGGATGGGGAGGAGAGGAGGAAAGGAAGGACCCCCCACCCCGGCTGTCCCAGGCAGATTTATCCCGACCCCCGCAGAGCTGAGACCCCCTCCCAGCTCAGCGCACCCGCGGCTGGTTAGGGGGGGGAGGTGGGGGGGTGGGCACGGGCATCCCTGGGGACATGGCGGGGGACACATCTGGGCAGCGCTGGAGCACATCTGGGCGGCGGCAGGGACACATCTGGGCAGTGCTGGGGCACGTCTGGGAAGCTCCGGGGCCGCGATGCGCCCACTGGAGGGCAGTGCGAGCCCACCGTAGGAGCAGCCTGTGCCCACCGGTGTGGTCCCCCCGGGGCCGCACCGGCACCTGCCCCAGCGGCCCGGACGCCAAATCCCTCCCCTCGTCCCGGTCAAAGCTCGGGAACACCAGCCCTGCCCGGCCCGGACCCCCGTGCAACCCCCCAGGGATGCTCCAGAGGCAGCTGGAGTATCCATGGGCCTGGGATGCTCAGCCTGTGCTGGCTGGGGATGCACATCCCACACCTGAGGATGGACAATCCCCAGGGATGCACATCCCACCCCCGAGAGCCCCCCCATGCCCACACGCAGCCCCCAGTACCCCCAGTATGTGCCAGTGCCATGGCAGGGCTGGGCACTGTGCCCGTCTGAAGGCCCCACCACATCCTCCCTCAGCACAAACAGGGCCATAAATTCCTGCTGTTTCAGCCACATTTTTATTTTTAATTCTTTTTATAAACCCACTTTCCAGCCCCTCTGAATTACAGACGGAACACTCGGCTTTATTGGCACAGAGGTTTCTGTGGCTGGCTCTGCTCCTCCCAGTGCAGACCAGTATGTGACTGGACACAGCCTGACTTGCTCTGGGTCATCCTCCTCCTCTTCCTCATCCTCCTCATCCTCCTCCTCCTTTTCCTCCTTCTCCCAGCCACCTCCAGCCCTGCACAGCCCCTCATCTTAGCACCATCCCTAATTCCCTGCTGAATTCCGTGTTTCCCTGGCTCTCCCAGGGCTGTGCCAGCCTCTGTCTGTGCCCATCACCCTGCACAGACCACCTTGGAGCCCACCAGCCCCACCACCACCCCGGAGGGACCTCGGGAGCCGCTGCCGGGCCCTTCCCATCCCGTCAGCTCTTTCCACGGAAGGCAGAGACGAGCCATGAATTATTTATAATCCCTTCCAATCAGAGGAACGCTCAGGTGCTTCAGTTAATTTCCTGGATCCTGAAAATCCAAAGTGCAGATTTTAATAAGGCAAATTAAGTGCTTTTTATGTTCCACCCTGATTAAAGCTCCGTGTCCATCGATCCGTCGCGGGCGGGATCGGAGGGGATGGGACACACGGGGGTCCCCCCAGGCAGGGGCTCCATCCCCTGCTCCAGGAGGGATCACAGGGGGTGCTCCACATGCAGAAACACCTCAGAGTGGTCAAGAATTAAAAAAAACCCCAAGTCTCCAGTGGGTTTTTCCACGTAGCACCAAGAAAAAACACGGAGCGAGGGAGATCTTCCCACGCCCTGGCAGGGGTTTAGGAGGCAGCGGGATTCGCTGAGGGGTGGGGGTTATTCCTCATCCCATGGCTCCTCATCCTCTCCTGGAGCCAGGGAGGGATTATCCCTATCTATCCCATCTTCAGACCATGGGCATTCCAGGAGCATCCCCCAGCTGGAGCCACGGGGACTCCTGACAGCCCAATGCCACTCACCGGGAAACAACTGCTCGAGCACGTGTTATTATTAATTAATTAACGCTCATTATGGTGGTTATTTATTATTAATCAGCGTTAACACAATCCTCACCTCCTCCAGCCTGGCTTCCCGCTGCATCCCTGCTCCTGCCAGTGCCTCCAGTGTCTCCAACTCTGCTTCTCTTTGCCAAGCAAAGACATGGAAGCACCTCCTGGACTTCACTTTCCAACCCTATGGGAAGCAGGCAGCCAGGATAATGAGGGATCACTGGGAATGGCACCATAAAGAAATGGGAAGACCTCCCAGACTTCACTTCCAAATCCTGCAGGTCTAATGGGTTTTGCAGTGGGCAGGCAGGATGAGGGATTGCTGGGAATGGCACTGCTCAAATTTTAGAGGCACCAGCCTGGACTGGGTGAGGTTCTGGGAGCTGGAATAGCATTCCCTGCCTGCCCCATCCATGCCTAGGGTGGAAAAGGGAATCTATCCTGGAATGTTAAGGATGCAAAGCTGGAAAAAGCCCTTGGAGGGGCTCAGTGAGGGGCTGGGCTGGGAAAAAAAAAATCAATGGCAGAGAGGGAGGGAAAAGATTGGAGCACAAAGCCCCAGACAAACAGAGAGATTTAATCTGATTTGGGAGTTATTACCGTTATTGAATTATGCTGATTATAAATCATTTAGGAGCAGGGATCATCAAAACAGGGATTTCTTCGGAGCTCAGAGGGGCAAAAATTCTCCTGAGCCCCCCAAACCTCCCTCCAGGAGCAGGAGGGGGGAGGCAGAGCTGTGTCCCAGGATGGAGAAGGGCAGGGAGCAGCATCCCAAGGGAAGGTTGGGCTGGCAGGGATTGGAGGGTATGAAAAGAAGGGGACAGCCATCTCCAGGATGGAGAGGATGGGGGATTGAGGAGCTGAACACCCAGGATGGGGGATTGAGGAGCTGAACACCCAGGATGGGGGGGTTAAGGAGCTGAACACCCAGCCCGGGGGTGCTGCCCTTGGCCTGGAGATGCCGCTCCCGGGCCCATCTCCCCTGCCTGCTCCGCACACCTTGTCAAGGCAGCTCGTTTTCCCATTACTGTCTCCTCGGATTAGGGATGCGCTCGCTCTGCAGCGCCCCCGCCCCGCGCCGATCCCAGGCGCCAGGGAGAGCTGGAAAAACTGCATTAGAGCCCGGCCAAGGAGCCCCTAATGCCATTAGGGGGCAGGAATTAGAGGTGCTAAATGACAAGCCCCTCATCAGCCGCGGGATTTATGTCAATCACGTTCCCGCAGCAGGGAGGGGCAGGGCCCTTCATTCAGAAAAAATTGCCTAATTGGGAAGGTCTGGATTCTCTCCTCCTGTCTCGTTTCTGGAGCTCTGGAGCTCCTGCAAAGGCTTCTCAGGGTGGGGGATAAACGGAGGTGATGGTGAGGTGCGGGGTGAGGAGCGAGGAGGTGGCAAAGTGGAGGGACATCCAACTCCTACCCCCATCCAGCCCGCTTTTCCTTTCCCTTTTGGTGCCTTGAGATACTCCAGGATGACTATCACCGAGAATTGCATCATTCCAGTCTGTATGGAATAACAGGCTGGAAACCAGCCCCTGTTTTCCCGCTTCTAAAGGAGCTGGGCTGCCTCCCTGCCCTGGGCTGCAGCGAAATGAATTGGCGATTCCTGGGAGCCCATAAAGCCTGACCGTGTTGGGAAGGAAGCTGTAAAAGCTGCGTGTCCACAGCCGTATTTCCTTCACTCCTCATTGATCCCGTGGCCTCTGCTGCCCATGGCTCGGCCCTGGGCTGATGTGCTGGGTCCCCTCAGAGCCACCTGCATCGATCCCAGGGAGCTGGGCCAGCCCGGAGCACCTCCTGGTGCTGGGAGCCATCACGGGGCAGGTGGCGTTTCAAAGCCTCTCCTGAATCCAGGGATTTCTAAAAGCCCTCGGCTCCCCCCCACCCCTGGTTTGGGCCGCAGGGGATGAAGGTTGGTGCCTTCCCTTCTCCTCAACCCGCAGCGCTGGCACCAAAATAATGCTCTGGGTGCTTCGCGGGCTCCTCCGCAGGCAGATTTTGTCAGGAAGTATAAATATCCCCCCCACCCACCTGCCCAGGCTGTGCCTCAGCGAGGAAATGTGCAGCTACTCCCTCGCTGCTGATCTGCTGCTGCTGGAATTCTGCAGGATTTGGGGGGGGGGGGGAGGGGGGACACACCAGGACAGGCTTCCCAGAGAAGGTGCCCCATCCCTGGAAGCTCCCAGGGCTGGGTTGGAGCAACCTGGGCTGGTGGAAGGTATCCCTGCCCAGGGCAGGGGGTGGAACAGGATGATCTTTGCATTCCCTCCCAACCCACACCATTCCAGGGTTTTGGAGGCTGTTAAACCTGCCCTTCCCCATCCAGGTGTGCTCCCGGGAAGGATTTGCTCCCTCCGTGGCCCTGCCCGGGTTTGCCGAGGGGATCCCGGTGTCCCTGAGCATTCCCAGTGCCCCTGCGTGCCCATCCCTATGTGTGCCCATCCCAGGGCACGTGGAGCTGGTTACTAAAAGCCAAAACCCCGCCGGTGTCCCACTGTATCCCTGTGGAACATCCACCCTTCCCGAGGACTCGTCTCACCCGAGAAGGAGCCGGGAAGTGGCGGAATTTCCACCCCGCTGCTCTCCGTTCTCCCCGCGAAAGGGGAGCCAATTACCGGCAGCTGGTGAGAGCCTAAAATTATTATTAATTTCAAACAAAGCATATGCTTTGTGTTAACAATCCTCCGTGGTGTGGCAGAAGGGCCGATCCCATCCAGATGGCTCGACGTGCCATGGGAACGATTCGTGCCGGGCTCTGCCGCCGCTCCCGAGCGGAGCGGGGATGGAGGGCAGGGAGGGCATTCCGTGCCTGCACGGGGTCACCCAGCACGGGGTCACAAACAGCATCTATTCTCAATTATAATTAAAAATATAAACCCTGTTAGCTCCAGCTGAGGGCATCCCGAGGTCGGGGAGGTGGCGGCAGATCCAGCAGTGAGGTCTCCAGGAATCAGGAATACCACACCATCACACGGATTATGGGGATGTAAATATGATAGAGGCACATTAAGGAAGGTTTGGATCCCAGACACAGACCTGCTGTCCCACCAGATGCAGGTGGGATGCTGAAGGCTCTCCCTGCCCCTCTCAGTCCCCCTGCAAGCAGACTTTCCCCTCCCTGGCTTTGCATCCCAATGAAAAAAGGAATCATTTTCCTCTCTATCCCTGCACCTGGAGATGGACAGAGAGGCACTTCCCAGCTGGGCTCCAGGGTGTCCAAGCCCTCTGGGAAGAGCTGCTTAACCTGCTGTGGGAAATCACACTGAGAGGTGCCAATGCAGAGTTCAGAGCAGCCTTTCCTCTTGGAATCACGGCAGCCACATCCAAAATAACTGGTGTGAAAGGAAAGGATGGGTTCTATTTTTACCAGGAGGTGGGAGCTGGTGACA